AAAACTTACGCTTGACAATTGATGGTGGTGACATCTCATGACATGTAGGTTGTACATCATCATCTCCCAAATCTAAACTCGGATCGCAATCTATAAGGTTTGAGTCAAATAAAACTTGCATGAGCTTTGTTAAGGCAACATGGCCAGCAGCTTGTTTGGAACATTGGATTAATCATTCTAGTAAATTTAAGGCGTTTTGACAATTAACTGTATTCGTTAATTTTAGGGGGATATCGTGTTGCAAAAGATAAAAATATTGTAAATTCACCTTCTTCTGTTGCACTGCAGAGCGACGTATTCGTCACCTTTTTTTCGCGAGGCCGATACTTGTGCTTGTATTTCCTCAAACCAGTGGTGGAGTCCCTATAAAATTCCAAATCACTCCGGCCTTTTTTCCTCTTCCGTGATATTTCTTTTTCTCCAAGCAAACTTGTTGCTTCTTGTAGCTTCTTGTAGCAGAGCATCGAGATCATCTTTGTGCTTGGACACCTTCTTCACTGCCATTTTTTACTTTGTGACTTCCGCTACCTTAGTATCTCCAGTCTACCGTTGGACTCACGGTCATCTCGATGTTGAATGATTATACTTCATTTCGTCACATTTGAGATCTCGTCCCCGAATGAAGGATTATCACAACTTGGTAAATAGCTGTTATTACAGTTGAGCCCACGTTACAGTGGTATTAGTTACAGAGTGCGCGAAAGCGAGGCTTTCGGGTTACTCTTTCAGGAGAAAGCAAGCGCCTAACGAGGAAAATTAGAGAAAAATAATTATAAGTTTCCCTTCAGATTTCGAACTTTTCTCACAAGAAGAGAGGCTACAATTACTCAGTGGAAACTGTCCTCGTCATTTAACAAAGCCTTGGCTGAGAACGTGGCTTTCATACCGTGTAGGAACAGCAAAAGATGGTAGTGCTTTGAATGACGCCAACAAACGCGAACTAATGCACAGGTGAGCGGTAGGATGTACGATCGTTGCTCCTGCCTAATATTTGTACTGCAATAACAGTATTTTTTTCTCTCTTTTAAGCGTATATAATGTTATCTTTTTTTGTAGAATTGTGAGCTACATAAAAAATGGATGGGAAAACAATTTCACCGAAAGTTGGAAACACTTAGCATCTGACTCAAGAAATAATGATGATGTTTCCTCGTCCAGCACAAGTTCTCCGAACACTCCGTACGAGTTTCCACAAGCTGAAAACTGGTGTCCCATCCAGAGTGCTGAATTTCTACCGTTCACAATTGAGAACATGTTGAATTACTTTATTGAGAGAAAATCGGGAGATAATGAAGGCAATAAAGACTAACTATAAAAATTTGAATAGTAAGGCTTTTGGACTATTCAGACATGGTCACGTACAAAATATCGAAGTTGGCACGAGTGAAAATGGAGACGTGATCCATATAAAAGGTGAATGTCTGCCAGAGATGAAAAAGAATTTGAAGTACAAGCTCAATGTTACCATGATCAATTCAGGAGAGCAAGCTGGTGAGATCACCTATGCCTGCTGCAGTCCATGCCCAGTAGGGAAAGGTCCATTCGCCTCTTGTAAACACCTTGCCACTTTATGTTTTCCTCTTGAAGAGTTCGTAAGATTAAAGAAGAGCAGAGAGTTTGCTACCTGTACCGACAGGCTTCAAACTTGGAACCAGCCACGGAAACGAAAATTGGAACCAAGATCCATGTACGAAATTGACTACAGTAAAAAGGTCTATGGTAAAGAGAATGCAGGAGACAGGAAAATTCTTCATGACCCTGGACTACCTGTATACAGAGACACGGGGAAAGCAAACCAAAACATGCTCGATATTATCAAGGATGCCAACTTAGAATGCGGTTTTTTCAACATTCTATCATAAGATAAGCATCCTTCAAAGGTTTTAATGGAGACCAGAACAAGTACCACTAACATTATTTCATCACCCAAAGAACAACCAATTTCACTACAAGAAATTTATGAGAGAGCCAACAGAATCAAGAAAAAGCTCTTTGTAGATAAAAATGAGAGAGAAAGAATAAAGAATGAAACAAAACAGCAGAGTGACTCTCAGGAATGGTTTGGAGTCAGAAAAATTCGGATAACTGCTTCTAAATGTAAAAGAGCAATTCAAAGACGAACAACTAGTCCCACAAAGGCTATTATAGACATTCTCTACCTCAAGGACAACTTCCAAAGTCAACAAATGCAACAGGGACTTGAAGATGAAATGAAAATACTTATAATGTAGGAAGAGATACTTGGTTGTAAAGTCGATAAAGAGGGATTTATTATTTCCTTTACCCACCCATTTCTTGGAGCATCCCCAGATGGAGTAGTACCTGAAGAGTGTGTGGTAGAGGTGAAAAGGATTTTCCCAGGAATCATGACACTAAAAGAAGCAGTGTGTAGTAGAGGCATTTGCAAGAAAACTAGCAATGGTCTTATTGTCAATCAAAACCATGCATACTATTACCAAGTTCAACAATGGTTATTCTGTTCAGGTTATAAATATGAAGACCTGGTTTTGTCTGACCTGAAGGAAGTTATTATACTTAGCATAAAACAAAGTTCATCTTTTTCAAAGAAACATCTGCCTAAACTTCAAATTTTTTATGATCAGTATATTGCTCCCGAGCTTGCTTATCCTCGTGTAGCCCTTGGTATTCCCCGACTTGGTAAAGCACTTAGGTTAGTGTAAATATGAATAACCTTTTGCTATGCATGAAGTCTTCCTAGAACCAGGTTCTAGTTTGTAACATCCTAAAGATGTTCCCTTTTCAAGATTGTACTCCAATGAGAGTTTTTATTGTATACAGTAATACTTAACCTGTAAAAATACACAAATGTGAGCCTGTTATGTTAGGAAAAGAGTAAAGAGGTCTTTTTTATCAGCTGAAAATTTGCCAACACAAGATCTGGGGGAAAACAACTTTCACCCCATCCCTTCCCTACTAGAACTGGTAGCTTAGGTTAATACTAACATAAAGAGGATCTTATGTGATTGAAAACAATAACATGTAGGATGTACCCTTGTTCCATGTGTTCAACACAGTTATTTTGTATTACTACTGTAATACAATATTTGAAGGTAGAGCTTAATTGTCACATCTTATTCAAAGAAGGTACTTTTTCGAGTAAATATGCCAATTATAAGAATCTATTTATGAAACAGTTGTACTTGTAAGCTCCTTAACTCTACAAAGCCCCCTTCTAATAAGATACCTCACCGAGGGCCTAGAGGTCTCAAACCAAACCCAAGGGCACTAGAAATAATAGAGGAAAAATTATCTCAAGGCAGACATTAAATATCTGCCTTGAGATAATTTTTATGAAGGGTGCAAATGTTGTAAATTTTACTCTTATTAGTACCCTGAATACAAGTGGCTGTTGGTTATTGCATTACTTATATTTTAATTTGGTGTGTTTTGTTGAGTTTATTTATATTAAAGATATATAAAGTTGAGGTTTAATCATTAGGTTAGGCACAATAGTAACTGTTATCATCCATTGTCTTTAATAATATGCAGTTATATCATGAAAAAAAAGATACATTTTAGCCAGTTATAATTGTTTTCTTCTACAGACAAANAGATTTTGAATCCGGAATTTAAAGTGGGAACTTTGAATCCGATAACTTTTGAATCCGGAAAGTTTTGTCGTGTAACCGCTTTTTTTCTCGAATCCGGATATTATTTCCACCTGCAATCTTTTGAGTTTGCGGTGAAACCAAAATGGATCTGGTGCTAACATTGCTGGCGGTCTCCGGTTGCCTAATCTTGTTGCAGGTTCAGGCGATAAATTTTATCATGTGTACCGCAGTATTTCTGAAGAAACGCAAATTATTATTGCAAGGAAGTTTAACGTCAGCCACACTTAATCGCCGACGACGTAGACTGCTTGGCATCTGGATCTACTCTAGCCTTTTTCTGTGGCATCTGGATCTACTCTAGCCTTTTTTGGGGAGGCATTTTCACTTTGACGATCGAACGACGAAACAACACTGGGCTTGGTAACCATTTCATTTCGAATGTTCCCAGAGTTGTCGTTGTGTGTAAACGGTCAGGAATCCGAATATCCTTTCAATGTAAACGTTTACGAATCCGAATACTCCAAAATTGATGAATCCGGAAATATTTACGAATCCGGAAAACTCTCCTCTAGTGTAAACCTAGTCTTAAAATGCGATTTTCACGCTTTTTGCAGACCTCTCAAGTCTCACGATTTTCAGTTTAATCTCACGTTCTCACGACGAGACAGACAAATCTCACGATAAATAGGGGCGTAAGCTGAAAGGATAAATTTTTTGTATAATTTCATTTATGGCTTGCTGGCATGGCGGTAAGTTTTTTGTGCCAATTCTGTGCAAATCCGTAACAAACCAAGCTGTTACGTTCTTCATCCGTCTGTTCGCTGGAAACACCGTGAGTCGTCCATGACCAAATATAGAACACCTGTTCGAAATCAGGTCACCATAACCAGTCTCTCGCCTTTTGACACGACACATTTTCAAAATGGCGGCAATTGATGAACCTCATGAGTATTTAAAGTTTATTTCTGTGTTGTTAAGGTCCACACACGTTTTAAGTAAATTATTAGCAGGAAAAAAACACTTTCTCTTACTTTAAGAACCTGTGTTTACTTGGTTTTGTCTGCCGGTCGACAAATCTCCAGATATTTTTACATCAGTCTCCAGATTTTTGGTGTTTTGAGGTTGAGGTCTGTTTTTGTTTGTTTGTTTTTGTAGCTTCAGACAAAGCCACATTGTCACGATGGCATTGTCTCTTTAGATATTTTTGGTACAATACATCATTGATAGAGGGATAAAAGGACGACTTTTCATCCGCTTTTATGACTGTTTTACAGTGGTGAATAAAGAGGACAAACGAAAAGCGCTTCATTGGTCGTTTTACTCAACGTCATATTTGTCCACATAAGCCGCCAACCTCGTTCCCAGGGCCTTTTCTTTCAGTTGGGGCCCAACTGAGGGAAAAGACCCTGGGAAGGAGGTTGATATGACGTCCATGTTCCTGGGTTTATTTGTTTAGTTTTTTTTCTTCATTGCTTATTGGATATTAAAGATGGCCTGGATATAAGATACGTCGCCGATCTGGGGCATTAGCGTGCACATAATTCGAAGTTACAAAGTTGTAATTTTTGACCCACATCTCCTCCAGAAATAAATAAGTCTTCTTCAGGCCGATAAATTTTCACATTCAGTACCTAATGCCTGCCCAAATTTTGGCATTCTTCCTGTTTGTTTATTTATTTATTTATTTATTTATATGTTTGTTGTTGGTGTTTATTGGTTTGTTGCTGTTTTTTTTTTTCGGTGGGGGGAGGGGTGACCTGAAGTAAATTTGTGTCGTCGATCAAAAACCCTGTAAGGGAAATTTGCATATTGTTGTGCGAAGGAAAATATCCTGGTCGGAACAATGGAAAGTTGTTCTTTTTTAAATTCCAAAGGGCACGTCTGTGAGTGCAGTGGAAACAATAAAAACTCAGTGAATGTCAAAGTGTATTTCCAGGCACGTGCAGGCATACGGACTTGGTATAAACCGTGAAATCAATGATGAAATGGATCTAATTGTTTACCGTGCTGTTAAATACATATAACATTTCACATGCGTATTTTTCATTCTCTTATCACGAATAGTTAATCATAACTGAATTTGTAACTGCATTTTCACACTTTATAAAGCAAACTTTAAGTTTTTGGGTGCGGCTATTATGAAAATGCGCTCGATTTTTACCCAAGCTTCACTGACTTTGTTTTTGTTTTTAGATTTATGTTATGATGCATATTCTCAGCATCTGTATTCTGGAAGATGTCTACATTGGTAAGCAAAGTCACTCAAAAAGGACAAGGTAGACTTGTCATAATGTTTCCTTTTCCAGCACATGAAAATGATGACTATTTGTGCGATAATTTTTTCAAATGATTTGAGGTCACCACTTCTAAAGATATTTTATTGACAAAAAATGAGAGGCACAACATCATCAAGTATAAGATGGATATGAATTCATTCTGTTTGCATTTTCCAAACTTCCATAGTTCCTTTTTCTCTGGTAAGTTGCCAGCCAACTAGAGCAGCAGTCAGGGTTGGAAGCTTCATGTCTGTACAACGCCTTCTGAAATGCATCCAACCTCTTACCTGTAGTTGATTCTGAAGAATAATTTTGTTTTTCATTTGGTCTATAATGAAAGTTTGAAGAAACTGTGAAATAATTTTACGGAGCAACTACAGAACACAGGGCCACTTGTATTCTGCAACTACAGAATACAGGGTCACTTTTGAAGGCCTGTCTCTCTCAAGTGGCTCGCCGGCTAAGCAGTCGT